GAATAAAAAATAGCCCTTATGGATAAAGACGACTAAGACTATAGATTAACTAAAATACTATCTAAGGAATTAATTAGAAATACAATCTACGCGCGTGTGTGTGTATGTATCTGTCGCCATTTATCACTCAACCTGTGTTATGTTGTATATATGTTAACTGTTTCGATATTAACTCCAAGAACTGCCTCGTCTAATTCTACAGTCTCGTGCAGTCTTTTTAGCGTAAAAAAAAACACGAGCGGGCGAAAATGTTTATTTTAATACGCGTAGGTGGGACGTTGGGCCCGTTTAAATTGAGTTAAAATGACAGTGGCATACGTAGTGATTCGCTTCGCGGTCGCATTAAGCGCGTTAGGGGGCGAAATTGGATTTGTCGCGGGACGTTTTATTGGTACACTTGTTACGGTCTCGCCCCCCCGTCGGCGTGTGTGCGCGGCTTAAAAAAGCTCTCTGTGAAGGTAGCAGCACTAAATTATGATTGGCGTCGGGATGTATTGTCGCGGATGGCGAGATTTGGAATATAAATATATCGAATGGATTCAAACATGCGCTTGAACGAATGTTTGAACGAATGGACAACCTCGAAAATTAGTACATTAATGAACGAGGTACAGTGTGTGTATAATTTACGCGGATAGTTTATAAAAAGGCTGGCCTAAAATCGAAAAATATAGTCGTAATTCAATAATATGTGTAAAGTAAACAGTGTGTATAAGTCCCACGTCTTGACAAAAGTTGGCGTCCAGTGTGGATATATCATATATATTGACATATCATCGAAATATTTTATAGTTAATATTTCGATTATGTTCACGTTTCCTCGAGATGTCTTCATTTTATTAGGTACTGGTATTGCGATTTAAACTTAGGTTGATAACACTAAGTTAAAAGCGAGAACCCTTACGCTGAGCTACTATAATTCACACAATCATTCTTCTACAACAACTCTACGATTCGAACCATTTGTTAAGCCCAAATTTATTCGAATTGCTACCAGTTTAAGTAAAGAGGTGTTAAGAAGTTATACTTCAATAAAATTTTCTTTAAAAATCATGTGTTCCAGTACCTTCTCCTTTTTTGTGATACTGAAAAAGACCTTAAATGCAATTTGCAGCGGTTTCATTAAATAACTTGGAATAATAGGTCAATGTCAAAAACTTGTAACTGGTTGCCATGGTAAAACCGTGATGTCGGCGTCGCTTTTATGTGCCGCGTATAGTAGAAATTAACTCATAATTGTTCCAAATGCGATATAAGAACATTTTCGCAACGTAAACAGTTCTGACCTTAAATATCATGGTTATATACGAATGCGTCATTCACTCAGCTCGGGGCAGAACTTCCCTATGCGTTGACAATTTAACCGAGCGTTGCGGTGAATCAGAGTCCCCAAAGCGCATATTGTTTGCGCTCGCGTCTCGACTGTCAATGTTTGCCATACGGGCTTTTTTGCGGCGACAGATCCATAAATAAAAGTCTCCTTTTTTACGTCCGTATTTCTTCTATAATTTCTTAGATGTTCCCTTAACGGATTCGTCTAAGGTCGCATAAGACAAATGAAAGCAATAATCTGTCTATGTTATAAAACTACATAGAAATAAATAAAAAATATTATGAATAATCGAGAGTTAGAAGTGACCCCATGTACTATACATTTAAAAGTTGCAGTCTGTTAAAGAATATGGAAGAACATAAAATGTTATCGCCATTACCAATTTCGAAAAAGGCCTTCGCCACTCTTAAGAGAATTGAGCTTAGTTCTCGTTTAAGTGGTCTCATGCAATTGGCATGATGCGTTTTAAAACACGGCAAAAATCTTACATTCAAAAATTAAAAAAAGCACTAACCTATTACGAATACATTCATCATCATCATTATGTTCTACTAAAAACTCAGAAAATATGTGTGACATAAACGCTGTTAATAGCACTGTTTTCAACGAAAACTAACTAGCACTGTTTTCAACGAAATATCCATAAAAAAGTGGGTGACTGTGCAATAATTATCAATTGACTCTAATAGAGTATTTTACACTTGTCTATTACATTAGTAAGGTTAGTCTAGTCAGTACAAAAAAACAGTGTCTAAACGTACATAACATGTCTTTGTACTGCGGAGCACAAATCAGATAGAAAGTTGTTCTATTCTGAATCTTAATATCTATAAGTCACAAGAAAAAAATTAAAATGTTATCTGAAAGCGTAGACAATAATTAAGACTATCCGACGATAAAATCAAATTCGTTCTATGTGACCACAGAACGTTATTCTACGCACGGTGCGATTTGTCCCATAGCTGGGCAAAGTCTCCTCTGTAGGAACGGTATCTGGGCATAGTCCACTACGCGGGCAGACTGCAGATTGGTGTACTTCACATATCTTAGAAATATGCAGGTTACGATGTTTTCCTTTACCGTTGAGCACACGATGAGTATTTAAAACTTCATTTTCGGGATTTGAAATCAGGTTGCTCGAGTACATTGCATAACGAGTAAATTTTTTTCCTAACGAAAAACAAAATCGACTTCAAATACTTCGCTTTGTATTCATTTTATAATTGATTTTCAGGAGTTCCCTACGTATCTCCGGAACTCAAAATCCAATACCAGTGAAATTAACATACTAATTAATACTAGGACCAATTTCATGATCATTTTTTTATTTTTCAAATAAAAAAATGATCATCAAAATCGGTACACTCAAAGAAAGTTCTGAGGTAACAGACATAAAAAAATACAGTCGAATCGAGAGCCTCCTCCTTTTTTGAAATCGGTTGAAAGGCGATCGCTCGGACACTGGGCTTTCGCGAGTTATATATCCGTAATTCATAAATTATGTACATTAAACACGAGAACTACAACGGTAGACAGTAGTTATCGTTGTTCGACAACCAGCCCCGCCGTCCGCACGGGGGCGCGCTAACTCGGTTAGCGTTAACAATGACTTGACGAAGGCAAATCAGATTTGCCAGCCCCCCCGGTTATTTTAAACCCACTCTTGTCATTTTGCATAGTTTTAGAGGGTCGACGATTGCGGGCTTTCCCTTAACTGAAATAATGCTACGAATTGAAATGGAATTATGTTCCCTTATTAGATAAGCAAAACCGGATTCATCCCGTTTAAATTTTAGATCTGAATTGAGAGAACCTAGATTGGTTAAAACCGTGGTAGCTTAGTGTTATATGAGTAGTTGGGTTCTGTTTGGGAATTATATCTTAAGACCCTTTGTATAGTATACTGTTTATTTCTTTTTTTACTTACCTTACATATTATAACAATTTATTCAAAAAAACATAATTAATTACAATTTAAAATTAATAGTAATAGAGTAAAATAAAATCATGGCTTTATTTAAAATGTATTTGAATAAATTTATTCGGAATAATCCTGCATGAACAGCTTAAGAAAGCTCTTAAATTTCTCGAAACTGAAAACTTTGAGAGAGCAAACTAATAGTCACTAAGCTTATTGGGATCCATAATACGAACACAATATTAGCCAAACAACAATTTATCAATAAGAAACCGAAGAAAAGATAAGAGAGATGTTAAAAAGAAAACAAACCCTTCACGGTATCTTTCTCTTTCGAGGGCAGTACTACGTGCCCACACTCGATCGGAATTGTTATCGTTGACATAAGAAGCAGCGTTCAATTTCTTCGTCACTTGGAAGGGAAAGCCAAGTTGGCTTGTAAAAATCCTAGTTGTCCTAAGTCGACCAAGACAGTATTTTCTGGTGGGACATCACTTAAAGCTCTACAGATTTCGGGTGCACGTGGAATACTATTCTCATCTCTGGTGTTCACTTATCTCGGAACAAAATATATCCGCTTGCTCGTTTGCTTCCATTTTCAAGAAATAAAATAAATAATCCCTCGTCGATGTCTAAGTTAGGCTTATGTAGATGATGACGAGATGATATAATTTATAACAAAAAAAACCGGCACAACTTTCAAACACGAAACATTAAACACTGTTAATACCTATAGCATTTGAGGATTGCCATCGATTTCTCTGGGATGCCATCATCAGATCCAGGTTTCCTTATCATGGTAACACCCTGGTGATAACTCCTCTCAAAAAAAAAGAATCGTCAGAGTCAGTTCATAAACGACGAAGTTATCCGAGAACACACGTAAAAAAAATAAAAATATATACATACGGTCGAATTGAGAAACCTCCTTCTTTTTTGAAGTCGGTTAAAAATAATACCTCGGGTTTACTTAAATTATATGTCGCTGACCCGACGGTCGCAAACAATGTTGGATTACTAGTATGAATACGAAAATATTAAAAGAGAAAAGTCTTTCAAAATAGATATTAGTCATATTCTCCTCTTGTGTGATTAGACAAACCGTTTTTAAATATGTTACTCCAAGACACGGACTGAAAATACTTTACTCACTTAGTTTCTGCAAGTAGCCAATATAACGATGTATTAAATAAACCTAGGAATATCCGATAAGTTTCCGATAAGATACATTAAGCATGTACAGCATCTAATGTGACTATTGATATCTTATTAGAGATACGCCGTAGAGAGATAATGATGGCTATGATAATGTCTATAATACTGTGGTAACCGGATTTTGGCCTTAAAGAGTGCTTGAAATAAGCTGAAATTGAATAAAATTATTTTGATTTTTACTTCGACTTTGAAGTAACTCGATAAGACGAGTCATACATACTCGTCAATAAATGAGTGTGGAAGAGACGGAAGAATTTCATAGAGTTCATGGAAAAAGACTATGTTGGTAGTTAAATTATAAATATCATAAATTATTAACGGTTGCACACAGACTATTACTATGTAACAGCTTTAGAATACCTATTCAAATTAAAAAAAAATATAGTGCTAATCTCTGCACGATGAATATTTTGATGTCCATCAATCATCCAGCGTCGTAGAATGTTCACCGTCGAGGACTGTGCTACGAAGGTGACTTCTTTGTCACCCTAGCGCGAGGTACAGACGAAAGATATAAACCTTTCAGCGCCTTACTGGTCGGCGGTGGATCCCTGCTCCATGGGGGGTCGCCGTGTCCCGAAAAGTCCCTTAGCTTGAGGTAGCTTATGGTCAGCCTGATGATGGACGCCTTGTCCAGCTGGCTGGTGATGGCTGCCGGCAGGGGGAGCATCTTCGCCAGCTCGTAGAACTCGTAGTTCTCCTTGCCCCGTCTTGAACGCGCCGCGTCTCGACTCTTCTCCTTTCTCAATTCGAGGATGCTGCAAAGATAATGTTTAGTTAGAAGACGGTAATGATAGTAACAATATCACTAGGTTTTGCTTATACTTTCTATAACTCAAATATATATTTATTTCAACATTCCAATTGGATGTGACCAGTTTTTTGACTGGGTAGGAAAACAAATTTACAAAAAAGAAAACAATTCGAAAATTGAGTATAAATTTTCGAAGTTACCTTAACTTTTGCATTATCGACATTTCCTTACTTTCAATCTAATAGTTGTGAGAGAACAGTATTGTACTTTAACTTTTCTGTAAATTTGTTTGTTGAGAATTTTTCTTCATCCTATTGATACGTGTCTGCCTACCCGACTTTTGTGTAATGCGTGAATATAATATTATATATATAATGTATATTTACACAAGAAATAGATTCACGTAACGTATTTCTAAAAATTGGACCAGAGAGAACATTATTTTCATCATATCTCTGTTTGTTTCGAGCTTTGGCTTTGTAAAACGTGTTCCGTCAATTAGCTTGATGAATCGGTAATTTTCGAGAGCCATCTACAAACAACCGTACATCCCTAAAGTATCATGTCAAATGGGAGTGTACACCCGTCGACGGGCCACACCCACGCCACGCCCGCAGGCGGAGTCACTAATGAGCCCGCTGTTTTATTGACTGTACTTATGGAGTTTTTGTTCAGAACTGGCTTTGGGTTATTTGCATTTTAAGGTTCGCCGCTTGCTAGCGATCCGGACTTGATGGCCCGGTGGAAGGCAATTTATCCGTTTCATTCGTTGCCGTCGATCATGGACTAAAGAACAAGTTTTTTTTTTCTCTTTTAATTGCGTAGTCGTCCTTGTGATCTTCGGATTGAAGTTTATAACATCTTTGTTAATATTATACGAATGCACAGGAATGTATATTACACCGAATTTGATTTTTCCTTTAGATTTAATGCTTTTTCTATTAAAGGTAACAATAAAGCTAGAGCATTATATTATCGGACATTGATGTTAATAATATCAAGTATTTTTTATTTGTAAAAAGCTATCCTGAAAAATGTGTGGGTCGTTGTTTAAAACGTAATATTACAAAATTAATAATGTATAGATACATATAAAATGAAACATATATTTTTAATTACCTAATTAATTACAGGTATTTATTGATTAGATTCAAATAATTACATTCATGTCTATAAAATATTCTGAATTATCAGACACGCCACCTACAATCACACAGATTAATGTTCATGACACAACTGTGTGACTATAGATGACACATTTCCATCTTCAATTTTAATTACATTACAACTTTTTTTCAGTAAAAAACAATAACTGTCATATTATCATTTTAATATTTAATTTTTCAAATTAATCCAACGTTTAAAATTAATATAAATAGTTACGATTCAACAAACCGGCATCGTAGGTACAACACTGCACAAAAGAACTGACAGCATTATATGTAAATTTGACAATAGTATGTGTCAATCTTGTTTCAAAGATAAAAAAAAACAGAATATACGCCATGATATTACATATGCTTACTATACTTGAGCCGTGATAGCTCAGTGTCCGGGCGCTCGCCTTTAATTCAATATACTCGAGCAACCTGAGTTCGATCTCCGGTGCCGGCACCAATGAAGTTTTTAACTTTAAGTGCTGACTCATCACTTGCTCCGCGGTGAAGGAAAATGTCGTGAGGAAACCTGCATATTTTCGAAATAATAAAAAAAATATATTTCGAAGATATGTGAAGTCCGCCAATCCGCAGTGGGGCCGCGTGGTAGACTATGCCCTGATACCCTCTGTATAGAGGAGGCCTTTGCCCAGCAGTGGGACATGTAGAGGCTGTTATTTTACTTTACTATACTAGCGAACCGAAACTGAGGCACTCAAATTACGCCAATTGGTGTAATTAGATTGCAACTCTATAGACTCTTATCTCTTTCCGTATCATACGTTCTAAATCATCTGCCACATTCAAGTAATTTAGAGCGTGCCCGTTTCCTAGGAGTCTCATCTAAAGAATCGAGTTATTGGCTTCACGCTTTACCATCAAGTAACTTGGGCACATTACTTGACGATGAAAGCTTACGCATTGCTGTAGGAATCCGTCTGGGGGCACCGATTTGTCAACCACACCAATGCCCTTGTGGTGTCAGTGTAGACAAATATGGTCTCCACGGGCTTTCTTGTCAAAAAAGTGCTGGCCGTTTTTCTCGCCACGGTTCCCTGAACGACATCATCCGTAGGGCTCTTGTTTCCATCAATGTTCCATCTATTTTAGAGCCCTGTGGCATTTTACGCGACGATGGTAAGAGACCCGACGGTTTAACATTGATCCCTTGGGAGAGAGGCAAAGCCCTTGTTTGGGACGCCACTTGTGTAGACACTTTGGCTGCCTCTCATCTAAGGGGTACTTCGGTCAGGGCCGGGGCGGCATCGGAGGCAGCTGAAGTAAGTAAATGGCGCAAATATGAGTCTTTATGTTCAGATTATGTATTTGTGCCATTTGCTGTTGAAACATTAGGTCCGTGGGGTCCCCACACATCAATTTTTTTTAAAAGTTTATGTCCTAGGCTTAACGCCGCGGCTGGTGACAAGAGAGCTGGTTCTTTTCTCGCGCAAAGGTTGAGCATAACTATTCAGCGAGGAAATGCAGCTAGCGTTCTTGGCACCATGCCGCGTGGATTAGGTTTATGAGATAATATGTAATTTTAGATAGATTTAATCTTGTAAATATTAAACATTCACTAATATAATATGTCATATAATGTAAAGCGGAACAATTTCTAAACGCCGCGCAGTATGGACATGCGTCATCTTTATTTAAACATCATTGTGTAGGTATATACGGTTTTTTTTAATCGAATAAATAGTAAACTTATTTCATGCACATATATTATTTTATATTAAGTATTTAACTATTTCTGTTCTGTTAATATTTACTTTTTACATTGATATGTTTCTTGATTGATTTTGTTAAGGTTTTATTATACAATTTGCTTTTGATTGTAGGTTCCTCTATAATAAGTAAAGTAGCATAATTAACGTCCCACTGCTAGGCAAAGGCCTCCTCTGTTCAGAGGATAAGGGCATAGTTCACCACGTGGATCAAATGCGGATTGCCGACTTGGACTATATTGCAAATATTTCTTTTAGTTATTACTTCAAAAATATGTAGGTTTCCTCACAATGTTTTCCTTCATCGCTGAGCACGTAGTTTCAACACAATGTTTTCGTTCAGCGCTGAGCACGTATCAATTTTAAGTCGGCACTTAAAATTAATAATTTCTTCAGTGCCGGCACCGGGGATCGAACTCAGGTTGCCCGAGTATACGGAATTTAAAGCGAGCGCCCGAACATTTGGCTATCACGGCTCTTCTACACATTATAATTTACACATTTAACCACATATACTGACGACTATTTATCGAACGCATTATTTTTTGGGTTGTAAATTATTGTACAAAATTATTAAAATATTAACTAACATTAAGTATAGTATTCATATTTCATTTGCGTTTTTCGGTTAACCATCTTTGGTAATAATTAAACGAAACAACGCTTTGAAGCGTGAATAAATAATCTCGATTTCTGATTTACTAAGTTTCGATTCGAACGGTTCTGGGTGGTTGTCCACCTGCACGTGGCGTATGAAAAATGTTCTGAAGCAAAAGCAATGTCTAAAAAAATTCATTCATCACGATGTCATTAAAAGTGATACTGTATCATAATTCAAGAAACTGTTTAAAATAAGAAAACTAAAATCAATAAGTTTTTGTGCAGTGTATTGTACACTGCACTAGCTATATCTAAATAGTCCGAATATGCTTTTATGGCGGAGTTGGCAAACGAGCAAGCGGCATAAGTTATCCGTGTGGGAATCGAACCCACTTATTATCGCAAATTACCACCACCCAAGGACAATTTACAAAAGGTTGTCAACGCATCTGCAACCCTCGGGTGTAGTAGATGTCTATGGGCGGCGGTATTCACTTAACATCAGGTGAACCGTCTGCTCGCTTGACAACTTTTCACATAAAAAAAAAAACATTCACAATAGCAGTGATTGTCCATGGGACTAGACTTTTAAGGATGGATACTTTAAGTTTGCTTCATCATTATCAACATATTAAAACATTGAGACCGACACGAAACATAATAAATTACTTTGATATCTCGATGATTGTCTTTGTGCTTGACTTTGGCACCGCGAGTATGTCCAACTATAATTGATTTCCTTTGTTTTAAATAATAAATAAATAAATAGTAACATGTAAGAAACATTATATCCGTGAAAAACAACCCATAGAATCAACAAATCTAATTAACTTTTATGGCTTGAGAAGAGGTTTGTTCTAACATCCTAATTATGACGTATATTAAGTATTAAATGAACGTGTATCTTAAAGTCATAACAACACGGAATTGAACCAATAGCTCTTCACACCAGATCACCAGAGTCAATTTCTGAACTGCGCCAACGTACTCTGTATCAAATACTTCTGTTATACATACTTTTGTTTACTTGGTGGTGCTCTTGTTAAGTTATTCGCCGTGGGGGGTCGTGGGTTCAATTTCCATACGGTACAAATATTTGGCTGAGTAAGAAAATTATTGTTCCGGATCTGGGTGTTCGTTTCCTAAGGAGAGTTTACGTCAGACAGGCGGCTGGTCTTAAAAAATATAGCAAAAATCGCTTACAACATGATTATACCACCTATGTGGGATAAGGACAGGAGGATGATGATTCAAACTCATTGCCACAGCATGCAACCGCCCTTAGACGATTTTTTCATCATTAACCTATCGCAATAGTTTGTAGGCACCCTTAGTCCAGTCAGCTGACAGGGGCGTCAATCGAAGCGAATGAGCTATAAACTCTTTCCTACATTAGACGGCTACGAGCTACGTCAGCGCTACGTTTACTGTAGGGGCCCGCTCGTAGGCGATCGACGGATTGCTTTACGATCAGATCTCTCCCGAGAGTGCCTGTTTTATTGTCACCTGAGTAAGGTAAT